TAGTATATTAGCCAGCTGTACGGTGGGTTTTCTCCTGTCAGTTCTTGGAGAGGTGACTTGCGAGTATGCACCTTTCTTGTACAGGCTTTAATGCTGTCAAGTACCTATTTGCGACAAATTTGTGTATGTCCTCACAGTCTTTAGTCATCTCTGCATGCCATGGCCACAGGAGGACGGTTTGTCGTACAATGCGTTCTGCGTGTGTTGGCGAGAGCATAACATGAGCATGATTCACTACGGCGAGAAGGAGCTGGTATGCTATATGTCCCTTCGCAAACCTTTTCACGTGGTGGTGTTTGTTGAACTTTCTCTGGGTTGGTTGTGTACGGTGCAACAGAAGAATGAGTTCGTATGAAGCTCGTACATACTGATGTGTTGTATTGCACCAGGACACCTCTGTTTGTCGCGTTCTGATGTGTTTGCGTCAACAGAAAAGCTGCACGACTTGAATGCTCCTTGGCGTTTATGTACACCAAACTTGCTAAAATACTTATACATAGTGCTTGCCATGCGTGCATAGTTCCTTGCACATACTCGTACAGAAACCGTTCTTGTTTCTTGATTGGTCAGGATTTTGATTCTTATCAGATACGCACGTGGAACCGTGCCTACGGCGTCGCTGCTGTGTGTTCTCCATGGCACATTCTCTTGCCTACACACAACATGTGATGAACGTTTATTGTGGGTGGTCTTGGCTATACCATGCGTTATTATCTGGCCCTACGCCACTATTGAATAATATGGTGCGTTTTAACCACAGGCTGCTCGACGGTTGCTTCTGGAAGAGATGTACGAACACGTGCTGAGCATGCTTCATGCACACAGAGAGGTAAACATGTACTTGTTTGTGATCTACACTCTGTTCTCCTTAACTGAGACGCAGATTCTCAAGCCACGAGTGCCCGTAATGGTGGATGCAAGGACTTGGTATGTGGCGTTTAACGTGGTTTATGTACTGGACTTTTACACGATTGAATTGTTTCATTGCAGTGTGCATGTGTAGTATTGGTGAATTTATACAAGCTTACATTGTCTATATGACTTTATGCATGTGTACTAAGTAATACATATGTACCTGTTGTTCTGAAGTGCACCCACACAGCTGTGTGCATACATATTTATACATACATAGCCAGTTGCATAGCAGAATCTTGATTCTGAATCCAAACCCTCTTCCCTTTGAGTTGGTTGTATGTGCGTAAACGTTGGGTTTCCTATGTACGTATTTCGATTGGCGCATTTCGACTAGCGTAATACATGTACATCAACGCTTTCTTCGTCAGGCGGGTTGTGATAATTGTACATTGTACACATGCTCGCAATGTGTGTGTATGATATAGTCAGAGGTAAACCACTTCAACCACGTTCAATGCTCTCCCGCTATTGTCTCACTTTTCGGCCGAGTTTCAATCGTCACCCGACGTAGTTAATACATATACCTGTCAAAACCGTCCCTAACACAAACACAGGAATCTGCTGGTAGAGTTTCATCGCACTAACAGCACCCTACCCAGTAGAAGCGATGTACAACGTGTCTTCAATATTATGGTGCAGCAGCGGTGTGTTTTCTTTGAGTTTTGCACATACACTGTCAAGACGACAGTGTTCGTATTCGATGCTCGGTTGTCATATATTGTATAAGGTAATTTAAGATGTGTGTGTAGAACCAAGCAGCAGTTTGGTCAATCAAGTCTGTCAGCTGATAGACCCTATGTGGTACGCGAAATGGCGTATAAGGTTATGTGAGATGTGTGTGTGTGTACCTAAACAGCAGCTTGTGCAAGTGCAATCGAGTGTGTCAACTGGTCGACTCTGTGTTGTGCCCGGCTTCTTCTATGTGCATAGTGACGTTGGAGGTCTAAAGGTATCTGCTGGCAGGTGAAGTGATGCCACTAGTGCGGCTAAGTATACAGGTGTATAATACAACTATATGTACACAGAGGTATCCGGGATTGCATGCAATAGGGAATTATGAATGTAGAGTGATGTTTATACAACTATATGTACACATAAATAGACATAAAGATGCCTCAAGAACACCCAGCGGATAGTAAGGTCTACTGCATTCATCCATCCCATTCACAGATTGATAGTTTGGCAATTAAAACAGGACTGTGACTTGTTGTATGTGTTCTGTGAGGATGTTGACACAAATTTGTGAAGTGCTCATGCAAAAGCTTCCTATATCGAGATTGCGTATCAACACATGTATTTCACACGATCTATATGTGTGTTGATGTTGCTGAGAATATGTTCCAGACGCTCCGATGTCTGTGCGGCATTATAAGCAGAGCTTCCGTACGGTCTGATTACTTACCTTTTGCGGGCATTTTTTAGGTTTCTCTACAGTCTGAAACCTTACTTTTGCGGGTATTTTTTAGCATTCTGCACATCTTGAAATCTCACTTCGCTGGTATCTTTAGGTTTTGTTAATGCACCTCTAATCAGCAACTTTTAGGATGAGCACCAGGGTAAATCGGGTAGAAAATTTTCCATGTGTATGTGTTTATGTATAGGTGCATATGCATGTAATACATTGCTTTGTAAGAATTGTTCATTTTGAACCTCGAAATTCCCCCAACTCCCATATGGGTAGGATGGATAGCGCATGCAGTCTATACGAATGGTATGTCTTTCGGAATATATATTCGTATCTGCATATGTATGTGTATATACATGCGCATGTGTATACGATCATCAAGAGCGACATTTGCAGCATTGATTCAGTGGTATGTTCTATGATTTCCCATTCTAGGTCCTTCACCTTTGGCGTGAGAGACAAGACACTGATACGGTATCCCATCGGTATGAGTTCAGTACTTGTGTGTTGGCGGTGTTTTGCTATTGAATCGTCTTTAAACAAAAGTGCTATGTATTTGAGTACCACCAAATGCCATGTATGTGTGTACAACTACGTGCTATGTATATGTGTACTATAGACTCCATTCGATGTGCTCGTTTCTAGAAGCAGATGTGGGGGTATTTGTATTTCAAACGCACTGTGCTATATACTTCGGTGTTGTTACTTTTACTGCGACTTGGATCACACAGTGTGAATCGGAAACAACCAGAAAGTTCTTCCTCAAATATCGAGTAATAGAATCAGAAAAGGGCGATGCGATTACCTCAAATTTGTTTACGGTGTCTTATTTTGTTAGAGGGTTATTATCTTAAAATTAGTTTACGGTTTGTGACACATTTCGATATGTTTGAGTTCCGGCACTACGTATTTCCTGATATCTGGGGCAGTCAGAGTACTGTGAGGTTAGTTGCGCTGTACAGTTACGCCCACTCGAAGGGCTCACAGAAGTTCGGCATGTCTCAGTGTTTTAGTCAATACTAACGGAAGCGTACACAAGTATAGACATATATGCTTGTACATATGGGCAAGCCAACGTACATAGCATGCTGTTGTTTATTATACATAAGGTTTATTGTTGATCATCTCTGTTCTGTGAGCCTTTTTGCCCGTAATAGTACTCTGCTCTTTCTTTCATGCCAACAGAGGAATGACAGCCTGTATGTATACGTATATGTATATGTTAGTATATTTACTCCCATTAATGTACCTCTATATGGTTCTTTAAGGTCACAAAACATCGGCGAGAAATTTATAGATATAAATACGAATTGTG